TTTTTTTTTTTTTATGAGCAAAAATGTGATTGTATTTTTTTATCTCCGTTTGATTGATGATGATTGGATTGTATTTTGTGAAAATGATTGGATTGTATTTTGTGATTGTGATTGGACTAAACTTATTTAACACGGTGATTGTATTTTTAATCTATAATTTTTGAAATAAAAAAAAAGATTGTATTCATTAGGTTCACATAAAGTACGCACTATTGATGGTAATGATTAGATTAGATTATATTTTGTAATTAATTTTTTAACTCACTGTATTTTTTTTTATAAAAAAAATAATTGTGCTTTTTAACTATTATTAACTTAATTCGTGATTGAGTTTTTAACTCATTATGTTTTTTGAAAAAATAATTGTATTTTTTTAATTACCAATTGACTCATTACTTTTTTTTTTTAATTTATTATTAATATATAATATATATAATGAACAAAAATGTGATTGTGTGTTTTTGCACTCGTTTTGATCACACGGTGTTTTTATTTTTTAACTAATTGATCTCTCTCTTTGAAAAAAAGCAATGAAGTCAATTGAAAATTAGGAAATACAATTTTTTTTTTTTTCAAATAGCACACAAATTAAGTTAATTGATAGTTAAAAAGCACAATCTTTTTTTTTTTTTCAAAAAATATAGTGAGTTAAAAAATCCAATTACAAAATACAATTTAATCATCATCAGTAGTTGGTACTTTGTGTGAACCTAATAAATATAATCTAATTTTTTTTTTCAAAAAACATAGATTAAAAATACAATCACTGTGTGATTGTATTCAAAAAATATGAATATAATCTTTCTTTGTTTTTTCAAAAAACACAAATTAAATGGAGCGTAAAAGAACACAATCATTTAAAAAAATAAAATTAAAGTTTAATCAAAATAGAGCGTAAAAAAACATAATTACATTTTTGCTCATAACAAAAAAAATAAAAATAAAATAAAGTCAATTGGTAATTAAAAAATACAATTATTTTTTTTTTTTCAAAAAACATAACAAGTTAAAAACCCAATCATAAAAAAAATACAGTGAAAAATGGATACAATCTATTCATCATCATCAATAATACAAACCTAATGAATACAATCTATTTTTTTTTTTCAAAAAACATAGATTAAAAATAAAATATTGAAAAATAAATTAAATCCAATAAAAAAAATACAATTCAATCATCATCAATAGTTAGGATTTTATATGAACCTAATGATTACAATCATTTTAATCAATTTAAAAATATAATCACCATATTAAAAAATAAATGATTTACTTACATATTTTGAAATGTTTTTCTTCCAAGATTCTAAAAAATAAATTAAGTCCAATCACGATTAGAAAATATAATTCAATCATCATTAATAATTAGTACTTTATGTGAACCTAATGAATACAATCATTCTTAATCAATTTAAAAATATAATCGCCATATTAAAAAATAGAGCAAATTACAAACACCTCCCTCGAGGTTTGGTGAAAATACAGATTCTTCCCTGAGGCTTGAGAAATTACATCCCGCCCCCTGAGGTTTATATTTTCATAACAAATTGTCCCCTGAGGTTTTTATTTTCATACAAATTCCCCCCTAATTTCTCCTAAATTGTTATGAAAATTTGACCCTCAGGAGGCAATTTGTAATTTCTCAAACCTCAGGGGGAATCTGTATTTTTACCAAACTTCGAGGGGGTGTTTGTAATTTGCCCTAAAAAATAAATAATTTGCTCACAGACTTTGAAATGTTTTTCTTCCAAGATTCTGTCTTATTCTCTTCCCTAAATTGTTGCGTAATGCTACTATCGCTGCATAAGGCTACTACGTATTCTCTCTCTCTCTCCCAAACTTTAGGTTGTCGTGATAGGGTTCAGGTTAATAATCTTTAGGTTGTTGTGATAAGGTTTACGTTAATAGCTAAGCAGTGGGCAAGGGTAGAGAAGTTTTTTTTTTTTTTTTGAAAATTAAAAATTAAGAAATTAAGATTAATATATTAGAGCTTTCACAACACTTATGGGTTGAATAATATATAAATTTGAAAATACAAGGATGCTGCTTGAAGAACCGCACCAATGATATGGGAGCGTCTCTATGAATAGGAATTTTAACTCTAAAGTAAAGCTTCCTCAATCTTTAAAACGTTTCTTAGAAGAAGACAACAGAAACCCACAAACAAAGGAGTTTAATGCTTTCAATATTCAATCACATGTTTACTATTGACCCAAAAAATACTCTTCTTTCTCCATTCACTTGGTGGCAAAGAGAAGATTACAAATTATAATAAAATACTGAATTTATTTATAAATAATACATTTGAGACAAAAAGAAAGAAAATTTTCGAAATTAAAAAGAAAGAAATCATGTACCCAAATTAAAGTGCATCATTATAAAATCATCAATGAGGTCCGAATATCCGTCCCAAAAACCCTTCGATAAAAAACCCTCAATTGGATTTGGAAGCCCATGGCCCATGAGTTGGAAATTTGACAAAAGATCACCACACCATTAGCTAAATTAAAACATTAATTAAGGAGTTGAACTTTTGGATTGTATACGTTGTTTGCATGTGACAGGGTATATTGGAGATTGGACCCGTGACAACCCATTTCACTATTTTCATTATGTTATAAAAAAGCAAAGCTTTATAATACAAGCAATCAAATTTATTGGGAATAACAATAATGGGATATTCATTTCCATTGCATTAACATAATGAGAACATCATAAAAAATGGGTTTGTGCCTCAATTTGAGGAGCATTATGAGATCATTTTTATGATCTAAATCGTTATTTTGTAAAATTTATTGAATATTTTATGTCTACCAAAAATTATATTAATCGGATATCAATAACTATATGATTGATAATCAAAAAAATAAACATTAAGTTTTTCTTTTGAAAAATAGCATAAAAAAATGCAATTCGATCATATAGTTATTGATATCTGATTAATATGATTTTTGATAAGCATGAATTACTCAACAAATCTTATAAAATGAACGGTTCGGATCATAAAAAAATAAGCTCATAATACAGCTCAAAATGAGGCACAACAGTCACTACTGTACTGACCCCAATTCCCACAAATGGATCATCTTAGTAGAGAAGGGAATTTACTACTCTCTTTACTGATTAGGGTTTAAATATCCTATTATTTAAGAAGAAGTTCAACGGTATAGATGGATCAATTAATTTCTCCTAATTTAACTTGTAAGAATGATCCTAAGGTCCTGTCTTGGGGATATTAAAAAAAATGATAATATTATTTTTATAACAAATCAAAACACATGTATGTAATTATCAAATAGGGTTAGTCCATAGTGCATGCTAGTCAGCTGGAGCATTTAGAGACGGCTAAAAATGCCAGATATTGCGCCCTACTTCGTGGACGGCACTATTTACACTGATTTTTGTGGTTCTCGTGAAGTCTTCGCCTACCCACCAGGTACCCACTTATACAAACTTATCCACGATCCCATCACAGTCATATAAAATTGATTCTCTCGGTTACATTTGTTCAATTAATTATTTATTTAAGTACAACCTTAAATGGAAAGCCAAATTATGATCCTTGACTTGAGAAATTTGAGCATTAACTCCTTTGGTATTGTGCTGACACCAAGGATCCTCTCTAAAGTATTTTTTTTTTAAAGTTTTTTAAAATGGTATATTGTGTGGTTGAGATTTAATATTAAAAAATTGATGCTAAAATGGTGTATTGTGTGGTTGAGATTTAATATTAAAAAATTGATGTGACTTGTCATTAAATCTCAACCACATAATGCACCACTCTAGAAAATTTTAGGGAAAAAAAACTCTAGAGTATCCTTGCTCATTGTGCTGAGTAACATTGCTAGTTTTTGTTTTTAAGGATCAATAAGTGTTATTAATTAGATTTATTTATTTATTTATTTATAAGTTTTATTGATAAATTTATTACTGTAAATTTATTCATAAAAATAAGAGAAATTGATAAATTTATCAATACAACTTAATGGTTAATAAATTTTAAAAGTAAGACCTATTAGTAAAAAAAAAAATTATCATATTAATCTTTCTTGAGATTTATATATATAGTAACTTATACTAATTTAACAATATATATCACATTCCCTTCATATTTGAATTCACATAACATTCATCTCTTTGTTCATCAATAATTTGTTAATATTATTTCTTTTACATTAAAATATATTTTTTCTTTTTTATTCTTACATTTTTACACCATCTATATTAATTTCAATCCCTTTACCATTACTACAAAAGAAACTAGCATAATTTTGTTAAAATTGTAAAATTTGTTGAATATTTCCTAAAGTTTAGTGGAGATCAATTTAATTTATCCCTTTTTAAGAGTGGAAGGACTGACGAGAAGTGATCACCAAAAAGAGAGAGTGGTTAGATGGGCTGGTCAATGGGTGGAAGACAGAATAAAAACTTATTTGAAAACAAATGAAATATTGATTTTATTTATTTATTTTATTTTTTGATGAAAACATGCCTTTTATTATACCAAATCACTTCCAGCATTTGCTCCACAAAAAAAATAAAAATAAAAATAAAAATAATGATTAGAAGCTTTAATGGAGTGGATCTTACAGTGATGTAATATTTTGACTTTAATTTTATTTTATTTTATTTTTTTTATTCTCTGTCACATTATTAGAGTTCAATTAGAGCTCTATGCTCTAAAATTAGAGGGATATCATTGCTTAAAAAAAAAATGAGAGAGAGAGAGAATAATACAAAAGACGGAAAGCAAGGTAATGCTCTCCTTAAAATCAGAAAGTACTTGCAAATACCTCAATCAAATACTTGTGTTGTCATCAATCTTATCAGGAGAAGTCATCGGCAAAGGAAATAAAATAAAATAATCATCTTAAAGAGTACCCAGAAAATTAAGATATCTATGAAATTGGATTACAAGAAATGCAATGAGAAGTGATTACATGGTTTCTTGGTACATAAGCATGCAATGGATTTGTTCAATCTGTTGCTAATTATCATTTCAAGAAACAATAAAATAGATTCACATTGAAAGAGAACAAAGATCACCAATTATACATGAGTCATGTGTCCCTTTTAGAGGATATCTATCTACTATGATTTGTGATCAATGGCTAAATGTTAAAAACTACACTTGTCCAATTGATACTCACTCTCTATCCACTTCCAGCAATCTTTTTCTTCAAAGCTTCAATTTCATCAGCTAGTTCCTTTCTGCTCGACTGAGAAAAACATGTTCACTTGTCACAATGATATACCTCATGCCAAACATCATTGTGAAATATTTAAGTATCAGAATATCCCATGTCTAAATTTATAACCCATCAAGGTTGCCATACTCACAAGCTCTCTACTAATTTTTACACCATCCAATAGGGTCTGAGCATCAACAGTCTGTCAATCATGGAGCTTAAACTAGATTCAAACATACACATTGCTAAGTCTTTCATATCCCTACATCTGGGGAGATACTAAGGACTTGTGGGATTCTGGTTTTACATGCCCTCGGCTAGAAACAATCAGAAGTAATAGCCAAGAGAATATAAAAATATCAGCCGAGTAAAAGATGATTTTGCAGGAATTCTATGGAAACTAGTTTGGGGAAAAGGCTACATCTTGAAGTATTTGTAATATCAACTTGGAACAATGAAAATTGTTTCACAATATCTGCAATGTACTGTCCAATTCGTGGACTATCAAATGAAATGAAATAAATTGGGATGCACGTGCTTAATGAAAAGACATCACTTAATTTGAAATATGTAAAACAGGACAATTAACTTTATTCAGATAGATGGCAATCGGATAAAGTAATTTGGACATGAAACATGTTAATTTGTAATGAGTTAGTTTTACCTTAAAGAGAAGGTACCGGTAGACAAACCATCCAGTATATCCAAGCCCAACCAATTCCATGATTTTTGGAAGCTGGTTTTATTTCATAATAGAGTAATAATTTAGAACAGTTTAGTGAAATATCCAGAAAGAAATTTGACTAACAAATAAAATTTTGATTGCAGAGCATGGGAAAAGCATTCATCGTAATTTGCTTCAATTTATTTACCATGAAAAATTTCTTTAATTTAAAATTAAAGGGTGAACTCAATCAAATCACTTACCAAAGGGACTGAGTTGATAGAATCAACAATGACGGAAGACAACCAAATAGCAAATATTGCCCCACCTCCATAGAGAATGAGTGCAGACTTGTTTTCAAGTGCATCCCACTGTCAAATTAAAGAACAGAACAGGATTTGAATGACACAATGTAACCAAATGTTGAAAAAAATGAATATCCTCTCTTGAGTCAAATCTGTTTGCTAATTTCTCAAAGAACACAGTTTAACAAAATTAACAGGCCATGAATTGATCAAGGGGTGAACATTGAACCCATGATTTTTCTCCGGACATCAATCAAGAACAAAAACTGGAGTATTTACGGGTCTACATTTTTAAAGAAATAAAAGCAGTGTTCCATTGTACCATGACATGGGTAATGTGATAGGAGATCAGGTAACTGTGAAGAGTGGAACAAGTCGTCTCTCACCAGTGATAACTATCAAACATCCCAGAAATATGAACTCTGATATGACACACCATGGTTTATACAAACAGATTATGGAAGGAATGGGAAGCTACCTTTTCCTTCAAGTCCAAGAACACCTCTCCCACTTCACCAGAACCAGATGTCTCCTCTGAGGAGGATGCTTTAATCTGGAACAGAGCCAACCTGTTGGAAGCTGTTTCAGAGGAAAATTAACTTGTGCAAACAATTTTCAACAGCCGACATTCCAAGACAATTGTGGAGTTCCATAATCAAAACAGTTAAAAATCGCATGAACAATAAAGTTTCCTGTCACAGTAAGAGATTTAACATCCAGAGTCATCCTATTAACATGGGCTTATGCGTCCTATCTAGGAAATGGAACCACATCAATAGTTCATTTGATTTTTGGTCAGTCAGCAAAGCAAGAAAATAGACCAGTGCAGAAAGTTTGCATTGAAAATCTGGCTGTTAAAAATTGGATTTCAACTTTACTGATAAACATAAGAGTTGAGACTAAGCAGAAGCAACAGCACAAAAGGCCACAGACAAGCAGATAACCAACTACATTCATGCACTGATGCCCAAACATATTTAATTTAAGGAGAAAAAAAAGCATAATTATATTTCAGTTCAAGCATCAGTGCACTTTTAGCCTTCATTAGACAGCTTGATTTTTATTCTTGTTTGTATTATTCTAGTCTTCAAACTTGATTGGCACTGCTCAAATATATAAATTTTAAGAGTCAATTAATAAGCTTATGCCATAAATGAAAAACCTACCATCCTATTCATTGAAGACCAAAGATAAATAATTTTGTGGTGTTTGAGAGAGGAAGACTGGAACATGTGGCATAATTAAATCAGTCTCCCAAACTTTAATGACAAAAAGGTGAATTGGTATTGATGGAGGCCACTAGGTGCAAAATTCACATCTCTTAGCATATCCCTAAAAAATCACATGCCCAAGGTTCCCAAGGTTTCTATAAAATTGGAGGCATCTAAAGCCAACACACAATCAATAAAAGTAAAAAATACCCTGACATGTTTTGAAGTTTAGACATGGCTTATAAAAGGCAGGAAGAGCATTATATGATTCGACTTTCCATGCTCAAATAGATTCAGATAAGGACTTCATAGACAAGAGCAACTAACATTTAAGTTAGGCTACAAGACTGGTGCTCATAATTCATGAACTGCACTTGAGCCTTAGCTCCACTGCGTTCATCTAGGATGTGTTTCTTAAGGCATGAACCTGATGAATTGTGGGGCTGCTGCAGCCTGCCGACATTTATCAAGATTGGCATTAATTGGGTTAGGCATCCACATTGTAAACTGCAGTTCCATAAGCCTCCTCTTTTGTTTTATTTTTTTGTTTTTTAATTTTAAATTTCATGTTTGTTTGTGGTAAAAGCTCTTGAAAATATCATTATGACATCGGTTCAGTTTTGCAAAGACTGAAAGCTGTGAAGAATTTGCACTTGTTGCCAGGGGTGGAACTCGGATTTCGACATGGGAAGGACCAAATTAAGAGAAAAAAATTTTCACGAACTAATAAAATGTTTATATTTCCAACAAAATATGAACATGTTTTATAAGTTCAATCAAGTGAAACATATTAAGATTATAGATTAATTTACTTCATAAAAAGTGAAAAATAATCAACTTTAACAAAAGATGAATAAAAGAAGTTTAATTTCGCTTTTTAGCTTGATCACATATCAAAGTGCAATTCAACGCTCTTTCAAATCTCAAAAATCATTTAAGATTGATTCAAAGATAAATTTCATTACAATTTTTCTTTCAATGTACAAAATCGACTAAGAGTTGAGACGGATGATATTAATGTTCAAAACCACATAGTCAAGACAGCTAAATTTCATTAAACTTCCCATTATGTGCCTCACAAAATGATAGTACCGTGATAAGTGAAGCATCCCATCCATCATCTTACAATTTTTAAAAATGATCTTTAGTTGATGAAACAAGACAAATGACATTTAAAATGCCTTGAATTTTCTGACATTTAAATCGACCGGATGGGAGGTAAAAAACTGTGTAAAAAGAAAGATGAGGCGGAGTTAGATTTTCTTTGTGTATGTTGCTCAAATAATATGACTATGATAATCACATTATTTTACCATATTTTATATACCATGTGATGTGTCACCACTATATTTTTTTTATCTGATGTGTCACCACTACATCGGTAACAGATTTAAGTGGTGGGACCCGTTAAATTAATGAAATGATAACATAGATGGTATACAAAATGTGATAAAATAATACAGTCATCATAACATTATTGGTTCGTAAAAATGGAACCAAAAAATGATCGAGGCTTTTTATCTTTGATAAACTAAAAGATTAGAGCAATCACGCGAGCCTAGCTGCTGAATCCTCCTTTTGGTTATTTCAGGAAGGCTCAAGACTAATAATTAGCTACAACATACTTGATAACGCCTCGCCGATTTAATTTTCTGCTACTGTAGCTCACTTTTTTTAATTATTTTATTCTTCTTCATTTCTGTATTCATCTATGACAATAGTTTTGAGGAAAATTATTAAATAGTTTAGAAGACCATCTAGCATTGTTTATGTGGTGCTCTTACCAAATGAGCAATGACAAAACACATCATGTAAGTTACTTTTTGCCTCTCAACAATTTAACAAAGGTGGATCAAATCCTCTCATCCATAAAATTTTTTGCTATGCTTTTAGTTGGGAGCATCATGTTAATAATACTACATGATATTCTAGGACTGTTAAACATATGATAATTTTTTTAAAAAAATAAAATAAATGTTAAGAAATATGACTGTTGAACAAATATGATTGTCAAGAAAATATAACATTGTAATATTTGAAAAAATAAATAAATAAAGAAAAATAAAAATATTTTAAACAAAGATAGCCAGAATAGAGAGAGTTGTTGGTGTGTATACTGAAAAATGACTAGCTAAAGTAGCTTTTTGAGCTAGCATTGTTGGAGGCCACTTTAAGGAACTCTATTTTTTACATATATATATATATATGGTTATGCGAGCCCCTCAATAGTTCCGCACCGACCTTGCTTGGCCAAAGAGCAATTGTAAATAGCTCTTATGTTTAGACACTATAAGGAATCTTTCGATAGGCAAGAAAAAAAGGATATGAGGAACAGGTTTCTGGCTAGTTAGTGATGGTCATGACTCATGATGATTTCCTATTGCTGGCTAGCTCAAGTTGTTTACTGTAAGTCAAAATGGAGCATACGCCATGGCATTAGGCTAGTTCATTCATGCAAAGACAATGAGAGAGAGAGAGAGAGAGAAGTTTCTCCATGTTATCAAAAGAAAGAACCAGACTAACTTTTAGAAGTTCATGAGTCCTATTTCTATGGCAGTTGGAGCTGAAATCTTTAGGTAGCGCCTCTATGTTTGGTTGGAGGATTTGATGAAGGAAATGGAAAGGGATTGGAAAATAAAATGGAAAGGAAAAAGAATTGATAGAATTCCAGAATTCCAATTCCAAGCTATGTTTGGTTGAGTTGGAAAATAGAGGAAGAAAAGAGCCTAACTGAACCAAAAGACAAAGTGGGATTCACTCTCACTTTCTTTTCCCTCCTCCCTTGCGTTTTCCATTATAATCAAACAAACAAAAAGTAATGGTCCAACCAAACACAACCTAATTCAAGATTTTATAAAAGAGGAACTCATTTCAGGGTGCTTTCAGGATCAATTTGCTCACATGCATTATCGAAAAAATTTAGTTAAAGAAAAGTTCAATAAAACGAATTGAGGAAAATATATACATATATATATATGAGGAGACATCCAGAAAACCTATTTAGCTCAAAAGCTATGGTTGAAATGCATAAAATTTTGAATTGTTGACATAGATTTCTCTCTCAATAGCTTGAATTCGAATTCCAGGTCTATCACTCACAATTCTTCCCAATGATTTGAAGTTGCAATTAACTTATTCAAGACTTAGAATTTGCGAAAGCAATGCATAGAAAGCGCAGTGTATATATTGAAATTGTGCGTTGGACGTTGTGAATTGCCGTTTGATAGGGGGGGAAAGAACTTTCTTTTAATACCTGAGAAGTGGATAAAGGAAGCTGAGGCTGAGGCTGAGGTAGACAAAGGAGGAGGAAGAGAGCGAGAAGAAAAACAAGGGAAAGCAGGGCGGTGTGAGTGTAAGGACTTGTTCGTAGTAGAGAGCCGACGCACTGACACTGCTTCTGCCATAAAACACGCCCCTCCTCCTGCTCCTCCTGCTGCATACGCTGTTTCCATGACTGTTGTTGATGCAGCTTCTCTCTCTCTCTCTCTCTCTCCCTGTATTTCTGTATGTATGATAGTCCACTGTCTTTTTTACTTCCATCACTTTCTTAAAACAAGTGGAAAAATAAAATAAGGAAAATGCTGACTTATCTATAAAAAAATGTATTACAATATGTGAAAGATTTATATTAAAATTTTTATATTTTTTGATATTTGGTCTTACTGAACAACCAATAAGCAATTCTAAATAAAGCCGTCAAATAAAATCTATAAGTTAAGATTTCATTTGGATGCTAAACGTTTTACATTTTGGAATATGAGCTGACAATTTTGTAGATCCAATTTCACTTCATTCTGGACCATTAGAGGAGTTGTTGGTCAGATTCAATCTGTTCTTTGAGTCTATTGCGTTCCAAGTTGTAAAATCATTTTACTAAGAAGTTATTTATCTCAAGGACATAATTTACTTAATTTGCGGAGATTATAAGAAATTATTTAGTTCTCTTGCAATAATGTTCTATTCCAATACAATACAAAGTAAATTTTTATAGTTTGAAAAATGCTACGTCCCTCCTTATAGAGAAAAGTAGGGTAGACACTACTCCTATTAAGTTAAGGCCTGTATAAGCTCCAGCAATCAAACTAAAGTGCTAACGCGTCTTATCTTATTAGTAAAGCAACCTTTCACCGTTATTGAGGAGATATAAAACAATCAACCTTACTAATAAAGTGGCAACAAGCACCTTCTTTCTCAAAGTCAACTTTCTCGCTTCTTGCTTTAGAAAGATTGCAGCTAACGCGCTTTACTAATAAGATAGAAAGGACTTACGGTGTCACACACGTCTACTCAGAATTTTTTGAATAGTATGTCTGTATAGTAGAAATCGAATTGTTGTAGTGTGGGTCCAAATATAAAATAAATTAAAATCATAAATTGATATTTTTAGATAAAATTCGGATAATAATTTTAGGACCGTAGTATTACTATTATAGTTTAGATTAATAATTATCAATTTGAAACACCTCTTGGACTTGCTTTAGCAACCCTCAATAATTTATTAGAAATTACCATTCACACTACTAGGATAATTGCAAGCCACAAAAATGTGGCAGATTGAGAAACTAGTTAACAAGACCTGAATTTTTTATTTAGCGGAGAATAACTCATATTGCACAAACTACATGAAATTATGTGCTCATTGCCTAATGTATGACGTGACTAGCACATTGATGATACCACATGAGTAAAGTTAACTTTGCTTTGAATTACAAAATGATAACCATTTGTTCAAGGAAGCAAGTTGACAATATATTATTGATAACTCATGAACTAAGATCAAGAGAGCAAACTGAGGAAAGAATCTAATATATCTCTTATTAAAACAATATTTTGAAGTACACGGAACCATATAAGCCTAGTGATACAACATTTGGAGTTATGAAAAGTTAAAAATGTTAATATTTAATACCATTTTACAGTGGCATTCCATCTAAATACAGAATGGATCAAGAAGTAAACTCTAATGCATAAGATCAGCTAGTCTTAATGTATGCCTGTCATATTACATTGGCACAAGCATGAAAGCTAATTGTTATTACATGTAAATTTATGGAAAAAAAAACAAATATGTATGCAATTCCCTATCCAGGCAAATCAGCAATGTTGCTGTGGAGTATGGACCTAGCTAGCTAGCATCACCAATCATCTTGAAACAATGCCTTAGAAACAGAACCAGAGGGGTTACTCTCATTATGTTTCTTCCCCATCATTGGGGTCTCACAGACTATATCATGGTTTCCCCTGTGTCGTTCCTTCCTCTTTGATTGCTTCTGCAGAGACTCAGATTTCGCTCTCATTGCCTTGGGCTGCTTCGGGGCCCAAACCCTCTGCAAATCTGGCACCCAAGTTGTGAAAGAAACAAACCTGCGAGCCCTTTCTCTCATCTCCTGAGCCTCACTTAACTTACGGGCATGATCCTCTCTCTTAACATTGCAGGGACTGTCCATGTCATGTTCCAGTGGTTGGGAAGACTCATCTTCTGCTGAGATTGATTCATGAATTCTAGTAGTTTCAGCTGTTACATATCTGTCTTTATCTCTCCACGAGTGATTGCTATCCTCACTGTTGAGTAGCAGAATCAAGGATTCATTCTCATCAACATATGGCAACAGATCCATTTGTGCATAGATTTTATTTACCACATATCCGAGAACATGATGATACCTGAAAATTTATGCATTCAAACATCATTTAATATGACTGGTTCTAACTTCAGGTAATAATGCGATGCTCATACTGTTGCACAATTAAAATATAAAAGAATAAATAAATGAACCTCCTCTTCATTCTGAAATAACTAGAATGAATAGAGACTAAATTTTGGCTGTAACTGCTCATATACAATCATAACAATGACATTGAATATCTCTAGGACTGTAACATCAGTGTGCATTAGCAAGTATTGGCAGCGTATGAAATATGAATAACCAGCCCATATGCAGAAGCAGCAGCTAGTAGAACCAGATGCATCCAGAGTGCTTTTGAATTGAAAACTACAAATTTGTTTTAAACAACTATGCTTTCAGTAACAAAATTGCATGGATTACAGTCAGTTTGTGTTTCTAGAACCATTTCTCAGGTGAAACAGAAATATTTTTATCATTTCCTCATTGACTAGCTCTTTATCAGAGCCACTTCTACATCCAAGTTCCACAAGATCCACATAAGAAAAAAAAAATAGTTAGCTCTTTATGCGACTCATTTTACATGTGGATCATTTAGCTCTTCATCAGATCTTTGGTTAGCTCTTTCTCAGACCCATTGCCCTGGCTCATGTGAAACTTGGGTGCAGAAATGGGTCTGACAAAGAGCCGATCAAAGATACTGTGACACAGAAATGGAGAAATAAAGAGCTGAGCAGCAGACTGGCTGAAACATAAATATACCAGCTGAAGCTGAGCAATGAACAGAAACTTGGGTGTAGAAATGGGTCTGATAAAGTTCGTTTCTGTTACTGTTGTTACATAGACAACATAATTTTATTGATAAATGCTAGAGACCCACAATTTTAGACCCACAATAATGTGTCAAGGGAGTTGGGCACTATATGGTTGAGTGTGTGACAAATCAAAAGTTGACACCTATCATGCCACATCATTATGAGTCAAATTAGCGGAACTTTTTTAGGAGGTCTCAAACATTTTCCATTTTTATTTTGAAATTGCCCTCACTAACTCTTAACGTGAAACTAATTGTAATCGATAGATCAAGTTTCTACATTAGATCAAGTTTCTACATTCAGAATGCATGTATTTCTCTATATCTATGTTTGAAAGCATTATGTCAAGTTTCTACGCTTACATATGTGTAAAGCATATACATATGTGCTTGTGTGATTGGTCTTTCTTCGAAAAAGAATGAAATCTCCAAGTGAAGGTATTAATATCAAACTGATTTTAACAAAAACAAAATGAGAAAGAGATGCTAATATATGCTTGCAAACCAATGTGTCCCTACAGAAGTAACAAAATGAAAAAGAGATGCTAATATATACTTTATCTGAAAACAGCTATAAAATATGGTAGTATAATTCTAACAGAGACTATGGTGCTTTTTCAATTTATACCTCATTTTGATGGTTTTTTCGACATAATCATACAGGCTCAAATGGCCGTGAAAGCCTCCTTCCACAAGGTATTGAATGATTTCTAAGAGCAAGCAAATCTGCTTCACAAGCTTGCGTTTTGTAGAAGCTTCTACATTCTCTGCAACCTCTGACCGGAGTATCTCCATACGAAGCAAAATCTGCAATTCATGTCTTGCACTAATTAAGGAAAATGCCACAGCAAATGGAGCTAAATTCTTACCTCCAGAGAACTTAGTTTCTTAACAAAGGCACCAATGCATGATAAATAGATATAAAAATTAATATAGTATTAAGATAAATATATTTATATACATATAAAAGATTTTAAGGATACTCTCTAACTATAATTTTCGAAACAAAGCTGGTAGATCCTGGATCAGATGCTGTAAGGGCTGGATCATTATCCTTGTGCTTCTCCTTCAATTCCTTGGGCTCCTTTAGCAGAAGTTTTATTAGATTTCCAGCAACTATCTTGCCAGAAGAACCATCTGATTTTACCAATGGGGTTTGACTCTCCATGCTATTATCTGATTCATTCCTCTGGTATAACCAATAAATGGACAAGTTCACAATTCTCTCAGCCAAGATCTGCAAGTCCACTCCTTTGGATTCAAGACCATCTTGAATCTTCTTAGGAAGATTACCGAAAAAGGCTTCCAAAGTTTCTGAACAAGAAACTAAAGAAGATCCCTCCTGTATTTTAGAAGGTCCAGTTGGAAAATATGAAGGGATTGGTTGTTTGCTTTCTTGGTCTGTTCCAATTAGTCTTTCACCTATCTCTCTTTCAATATGTTGACATGACTTGGATTCATCAGGTACGGTTAAGCAACCAGAGCCAGACTTCTTCATCTGTTTCATCCAGCACTTCAAAAACTTCAACTTCTTTGATTTACTAAATCTTCTGGCAAAGTAAGCCTCCTCCAGCTCCAATTCAAAGAATTCAAATGCTGCCTTACAGAAGGAGATCCAGGTGAGGTCCTGGTACACATGTTTTTTGTTCTTTCTTCTATTTTGATCACATAGCGGGACATTATTTTTTGATGTCAAAGCTACTGATCCACGAAATTCAGGTTCCATCACATGCCAATCATCCATAATAGAGAGAATAGCCAAATGAGCTGTAAAAGGCTTGAGCATACCCAAGAATGAATCCCCATTTCCTTTTGAAAGAGACACCAAAGCTGTGTAACCTTTCCTACAGAGAAAACTTAACAGAATTTGCCATATAGGTATGGTTTTACTATCAATGAACTGACCTGTTTCACTCGATAGTACTTCAAGAACCCTATCAGCAAAGAAACTGCTACAACATTTCTTTCTACTTTTCCCTAATTCTCCTGAGTGTCCTCGTATTAAAATGAGATTAGACAAGCAGCCCTCACTTCTCACATTCTCATTACATTTCTGAACAGATTTAATATGAAGATTTGTAATTCCATCACCAAAATGATCCCAAAATCTTTTATCTTGTTCAAGTGATTCACTTTCCGAGTTTCTAAATTCAAGGGTATGCATAATATCAGCAGGCATAAGTCTAGGTAGCTCCTTCAAATTGAGCAATTCAAGATCAGACCACTTGCATTCTAAAGGCTTTCCACTCACATCCGAGATCTCAAGAGTCAGCTGTGCATGAATAGGTTTGCAAAAATCGGTAAAATGGAGACAATTGAATGAAGTTCCAATCATTGGATAAATCAATCCAAATGGAATAAGAGCAGAACCCAAAATGATCGAGTCAGTAGAACAAAATCCCCAACCTAAATTCCTAATCCCATTCTCGAGAAAATTCTTAAATGCAAATTGCAACACAGATTCATCAATCTCCACATTTTCTTCATTACACTCCACATCAAACTTAACATCAATCCAACTACAGTGAATATCTCTGTTAGCGTACGCATCATTCACAGCACCAAAAAAATCATGAAAAATCTTACAGAATGAATCTACATCACTCAACAATTCATTATCCATACCCACATTCATAAATTCAGATAAACATTTCAACGATCTACCAATCGGCGACAGCAAGAGAACCAAATTGGATCGAACAGAGGGAAAATTGTTCAACCTACCTGAAAGATTTTCACTTTGTGCATCCCAGGCATAATCGTGCGCGACCTGAAGCAAAGAACCGGCCACATGCGAGGCACGAGGAGGTGAAATCGCCAATTCAGTAGAAATTGGGGAGTTAGAGAGAGAAATGAGGGTTTTGGAGAGAGAATCGAGTGTTTGAGAAGGGCGGCTGAAGGAGAGATGGATGGTGGAGGGTTTGTGGAGGAGGCGGTGGAGGGAGGAGGAGGAGAGGAGAGGGGAGAGAGAGGAGAAGAAGAGCTTGAAGGCGAAGAGAGAGGAAGAGAGAGAAGGGAAGAGAAGGAGGGTTTGGGAAGCGGTGAGGATGCAGGAGAGATATGGGTTAGGGTTTTGGAGGTGAAGTAGTGGGTAGAGATCTATGAGAAGGACTATGCGCTCTGTTTGAGAGTAGTTGTAGTAGTCTATGGTTTCTGCCATTGAAGAGGAGATCTGGGATTTTCAACTGTTAGGTTTGAAATCTGGCAGCAGATTGAATAGAAAGGAGGAGGGTGGTAGAGAGAGAATGGGATCAATCAGAGTTGAGAGAGAGAGACAGAGAGACAGAGAGAGAGAAAGAGTTTGAATGATGTTGTTTGGCGGGAAAGCATAGAATTGCGCGCCGGCCAGCACGTGATAAAAAAAATTAGGGTAAATTACATTGGCACCCCTTGAGGTTTAATCTAATTACTACTCATTTCCTGATGTTTTGAAAATTATATTTTCATCCCTGTGATTAATAGTTTCATTTCACAAACCCCCTGCTTATATAAAAGGTTGTCCTAGTAGAAAAATAGAGGAATTTACATTAAAAAAAAAAGTAAAGGAAATGCAAAAAAAAAAAATAAATAAAGTAAAGCAAAGCAAAAAGAGAGAGAATGTATGAGTTCAATGTATTCATTCGGTCTAAATAATTGCAATGACAGGGGGGTTAGTGTAATTTCTCAAACGTTAGAGGGTGATATGTATTAAATTCAAACCTCAAGGGATGTAAGTGTAATTTACCCAAAAAATTAAAATAAAAAAAAATAAAGTAATGCTAGGGATCAAAAGTTCATGGGTTAGATTAGAAGATTTTGGAAGGAATTTAGAAAGAAAAAGAGAAAATGTGTGTGAAATTAGATAAAATATAAATATATTTTATTTACATTTTACCTACTTTTTTTATTTCACTTTTTAAATTCCTCCTCAAATCTCTCAATTAAACAAGCAAAATTTTTATCAAATATTTTACATAGATATGGGATTCGCATGAAACTTATAAGGTGTGAGTCACACATCTATTTGGAGACATTTAGTAAAAATTTTAATAAAACTTTTAAAATCATTAACATTTTTCCCAAAAAAAGAAAGAATTTGGAAGACTTTAGAAATGGAAATTAGAAAAGATACTAAAAAATGAAAATCAATCAAAATTAAACACACGACTTTTCATAATAAATAAAAATAAATAAATAAATAAATTATATTGGCTTGTTTGGGAATAGCTGCTTATTTGATTTTTTTTGTCACAATATCATTTTATTTTTATATATATCTTTCTGTAAAAAATTAAAAAGTCACTAACAAATAAACCAACCTTAAGACCATCTCCAATTGTTCACCAAATCTATCATCAAATTCAAATTTGATGAAAAAGATGTGTTTTCTGTACTCCAATGGTTGCACCAAAACAGTATCATATTGAGAAAACATCAAACGTTTTCACCAAACTGAGGATGACTTGCCCCTTTCAGCACTTTACTGTGCATAGCCGTTGAGTTGGACCCACCGAACGACCCGCCGGATGTCCAGTTGGATGTTCCCCCATATGACCACTTTAAAGCAAAAATTTGTGAAAATTTACATTGACAGGTCGACCCACAAGGCGACTACTGTGCATTATTTATTATTATTACTTTTATCTTTTCATCTTTGAATTGGAAAGCTTTTTTTTTTAATTGCCAAAAAAAGAGAAAAATATAAAAATAAATACATACAATAAAGACAAATAAAGAAACTCAAGCTCAGATAAATTCCCAAAAACAGGTGAAATTGATCTATGGAGGTTATTATAAAAGGCTCAAGTGCTTTCATAAACTCACTCATGACTTCCAAAATGCTTCCATCAATGTCTCTCTTCTCTCTGCTACTAATTAGAAGTGTAAAAATGGCCCGTGGGCAGCCCGAAGCTCGCCCACGGGCCGGACTGGCCCGACCCGTTTAGACCTGGGCCCAAGCCCAGCCCGAGGCCTTCGACCTGGGCCTGGACCATCGTTTTAAAGCCAGGCCCAGCCCGTGGCCCAACCCATCGGCCCGCGCACGAGGCCCAATGTTATTTTTAATGAAAAATAATAAATTTTTGGTGAAAAAATCAAAAAAAAAGTGTTTAGGCTCACCCAAAGCCCGAGCCTAGGCCCAGGCCCAGCGACTCGGCCTACTGGCCCGTCCAAAGCCCGAATATCCCTAGGACTGGGCTTGGGCCTGGGCCTAGTTTTTTGGACCGTGGACCGGGCCAACCCAACCCGATTTTTTGCCAGAGCCCGCAAGGCCCAATATGGGCCCGACCCTGCCCGAGCCCGAATGGTCCGGACGGGGCCAAAATTACACCCCTACTACTAATACACCCTCTGTTTGGTTCCTTAGAAAATTCAATTGAAAACAGAAAGAAAATTGTTAACTTTTGTATTTCTGTGTCGTTTCCCTTTCATATCTCATTCGCATTTTTTTCATAGCGAAATAGATAATAAAGATTTAGTGTTCCATAAGATTAAGATTTGGATTTGGATTTGGATTTTCTCTCTCTGTCTCGCACTGAAGAAAATTCAAGAAGATCAAGACGAGGACTGTGAATCAGTGGATTAATTCCCATTGGAGAAGCCTTTTTCTAATGTGGGTATTCCAATAGTTTTTTATTTCATGCTCAGTCTTTCTGAGCAAACAAACAACAATGGCAGAACACAACAATGGGAAAAAATTTAATTTTGCGCTTGGCGGTTGACCCCTCGAACGTTTGTGGTTTGATGAAAGCACCGTTGGAGCGTTTGATATCAAATAAAGAAATTGGTCATATTTTTACTCAGATTTGATGAAATGTTTGGTGAACTGTTGGAGATGCTCTAAACCAATCCAATCAAATACCACTACAAAAATTTCAATTTTTTGCGACGGCAAAATGTCGTCGCTGATACTCCTAATGCCGTCTCAAAAAACTTTTAGCGACGGCAAAGGGGGGTCACAACAAAGGACATTGCTAAAATGTTTTAACGATGGCAAGATGCCGTCGCCTTTTTTTTTGCGACGGAAAATATTGCTTTTTGCGACGGCATGTTACTGTCACTTATGCTATGTAAAAAATTTAGACCTTTTGTGACGGCAATGTTGTGCCGTCGCTAAAATTTGTATTTGAGATGGCAAAAAAAATGCCGTCACCAAAAAGGTTTTTGTGTTGCAACGGCATGACCCCTGTCACCAATATCTTTTGCGACGACATTGCCTATGTCGCCAAAAAAATACAGTTTTAGCTGTAATGTTTTTTGAGATGGTGTGGTGCCGTTGCAAAAAAATAAATAAAAAAAAATATAAATAAAAATTGTTGTAACATTATTAAATATATTCAAATTACCTGTATTAAATGGAAAAAAAAAATTGAAAAAAAAACCCAATAATTGCATAAATAATATAAAAATTCCTATATAGAAATAACAATCTCTCCATAATAAAAATATTCTTGTATTCATAACTACACATCAACAAAATTACCCCATTATATAATGTTGCATAATACATATATAATGTTTAAATACATAATGTTGTTCACAATTCAAAATAACATAAACCTAAAACAAAAGTTTTCCTCATCATTCCCCGTGGATAACAAAAACAAAAGTTAGTCGCATTCTTCATAGGCATGCATTCCACAAGAAGCAAACTCCTACACGGGAAATATCTGAAAACAAAAAACAAAAATAATTAATAACAATATAATTATGTGTTAATATGTTAATTACAAAAAAACATAAAAATCTAACTACTATACAATTACAAAGATAATTAAGTAAATAATTTTACCTAGACTGAAGTCCGGTTCTAACTCCTAAACCAAGAACCCGATTTGAGTCCCGTCTTCTCCCACAAGTCTCTCGTGCCAAGGCGGTCGTGTGTGCCAAGTTTTGTGCTAATCCAACGTCGTTTGGTGATTTTGGGGCGTCAACACGTCGAATTCTAAGTTTTTTAATAAACTAGTTTGTCTAGACCGAAATCCAGCTCTAACTCCCAAATTGGGAACCCGATTCAAGTCTCGTCTTCTTCCATAAGTCTCTCATGCCTAGACGGTCGTGTGTGCAAAGTTTCGTGCTAATCTGATGTCGTTTGGTGATTTTGGAGCATCAACACCTCGAATGCTAAGTTTCTTAAGAAACTAGTTTGCCTAGACTGAAATCCGACTCTAACTTCCAAATCGGGAACCCAATTCAAGTCTCGTCTTCTCCCACAAGTCTTTCGTGCCAAAGCGGTCGTGTGTGCCAAGTTTCGTGCTAATCCGACGCTATTTGGTGATTTTGGGATGTCAACACCTAGAATTCTAAGTTTCTTAATGAACTAATTTGCCTAGACCGAAATCCGACTCTAACTCCTAAACCGGGAACCCGATTCAAGTCCTGTCTTGTCCCACAAGTCTCTTGTGCCTAGGCGGTCATGTGTGCCAAGTTTTGTGCTAATCCAATGCCGTTTGGTGATTTTGGGGGCGTCAACACCTTAAATTCTAAGTTTCTTAAGGAACTAGTTTGCCTAAACAGAAATCCGGCTCTAACTCTCAAACCGAGAACCCGATTCGAGCCCCATCTTCTCCCACATGTCTCTCGTGCCTAAGCAGTCGTATGTGCCAAGTTTCGTGCAATCCAACGTTGTTTGGTGATTTTGGGGCGTCAACACCTCGAATTCTAAGTTTTTTAAAGAACTAGTTTGCCTAGACCAAAATCCAACTCTAACTCCCAAACCGGGAACCCAATTCGAGTCCCGTCTTCTCCCACAAGTCTCTCGTTAAGGGGTTTTTTTTTGTCCATGATGGGACGAGTTTTTTTTTTTATCGTTGAAGGGTCTAAGTCTATGGCTTTAAAGTTAAAAAGGGTAAAATGATATTTAGTGATAGTTGGGAATTTTTGGGTAAAAGATATAGGCTTTTTCTTCCTCATGCTGCTTAAGTATCTATGATCTTTCTCATTCTGTATCTGTAGGTAAAATTTCAAAATTGGATCAAACAAAATTAATACCTAAAATATTTAAACTTTTTTCATTGTAAGAACAAATTTATCACGGTAAACTGACCCTTGCAATGCCTTTAGGAGATGGCATTCCCAATAGATCAGTCATCAAGTCCAATTGATGGACTACATTTTTCCGGGAAAGAGAGGCTTTCCAGTTAAAAGTTTTGAAAATATGCAACCAATGCTCCATATATCTATTGCAAGAGTGTACTAAAAACAAGATAAACCACCATACATAAGCGTCAAAAACAAAATTCATCATCCAAAAAGTTCTTCAAAAGAGAGAGAGAGAGAGAGAGAAAAAAACTTTAAAAGGGGGTTGC